AATCACTTTCAATGTAAAGTAGTAAGAATGCATCCAATCTTTTAAAGATCCTATACAAAACCTGAGACCATTTCGACAACCAATTTGCATTTATAATATCAGCAGTTTATTATAAATGAAAATACGTGCAGTATGAAATATGAGAAAGAACATTTCGAATATTGATATCATATACAAATATACGCATCGCTTAATTTAAAACAAATATCGTATTAAATATACGTCCATTTCGAACAATGTTTCACAATATATCGAATCTAAATAAATTTAGTGCATTTGTAATAATGAGAGATTCATTTTATTTGTGACTAACGCGGGGTGTTAGTTAGCCGGTAGGAGTCCGGCACCTTTTCGTTGCCGCCACAGCGAGTTTCCGTGAGGATTTCCCCAAGAAAAAATATAATACGGTTTTAAAACTTGGTAATAGAGAGACCTTGTATATATTCTGGGACTTTTTTGTGATAGCGTTTACATTGCCCCAAGTATGAAATACTGACTCTGTGGAGTCGAACATTCCATCAGGTGAGCCGCATGCTCGTTTGACCCTCTTCCATAAAAAAGGTGTAAGAATAGTAGATATTCTATATTACCATTCTAATTTACTATAGATAGTGAAACATTTGGCAGAAGCATTTTTCTAATAACAACTATAGAATAAAGCTGCAGTTGCCAACTCGACTGTGAAGCGTGGCAACTATGGCAAATATCCCCCTTGTGAGGCAATTTTGGCGGCCTATGTTCAGCAGTGGACGTTTAAAGGTCGAGAAAAACAAAGATAGTATCAATGTCAGTCGCGTTACCCTATTTTAAGATTGCATACAACATTATGCTACGAAAATAAAATAAACCAATCTAGCTGTTTCAACACAGGTAAGGCTTCCAATATTTTTACAGCGTCTGCTGCAGCACTAATTTTTTTTGATAGTTGAATAATTTTTTATACTTGGTAGAGCCATGCTGCAGTTATATTAGTAGTATAGTTGTAGCACGAATCGAGTCGGCTCTACCGGGGAAGGACCACGCTCTCACAGAATACCAGCGTAAAATAGTAGCTTAATGCTGCTGTGTTTCGTATGGTGAATGTAGAGAACCGGAGACCCTTTTTACTGGAAACGAAGCATTCCATTTTAGTCCTCACGGGTGAGAACGCATCTACATTTTGATTCGTAATCGAGGATAGATGTAGAAGTCTATGGGCCACAGCCACAACTTACCACCAGGTAGAATGTGTACTCGTTTGTCACCCTATCCTATAAAAAAAATTCTGGCGTCTGTCTTTCTATCCGGATACAGCCTAGGTGTCATAGACATGAATGGACAGGCTCCCGTTACGCTAAGACATTGCGACCCATCATCTAGGATCATTACCACGTCCCATACCATCCCATGTGTGGTTATAATCAAGCTCTGAGTTATAATGTAAAAAAAACTGAAGAATCTTTTAACAAACCAAAACGAAGTGTAGAAAACAAGCCAGCTGTTTAAATCTTACTCATTTAAAGCGCAAAAGCTACAATGAAAACAAAATCTGTAAACAAACAAGGTTGGAAAATTCCTTGAACAGCTCGTAAAGACTATCAATTCAATCAGTCGAACGGATGAAGTTTGGAGGCGTTACTGTTTGATATAAATAAACATGTCAATAGCTTTCCGCCCACGTGAATATTTGGGAAGTGTAATCTGTTTCTCGTATTTTACAAGTGGTGAAATTAAATTTATATAGGTATATGTTATATATATATATATATATATATATATATATATATATATATATATATATATAATTAATATAATTAATTATTAATCATAATTTTTTTTATAGAATAGGGTGACAAACTAGAATACAGTCCACCTGATGGTAAGTGGTGGCTGTGGACCATAGACATAATCAAAATGTGTGGTCACCCGTGAGCACTAAGAATAACGTCTCGTTTCCAGTAAAAAGGGTCTCCGGTTCTCTACACTCACCATACGAAACACAGCAGCATTAAGCTACTATTTACGCTGGTATTTTGTGAGAGCGTGGTCCTTCCCCGGTCGAGCCGGCCCTATCGTGCTACAACTATACTACTAATATAACTGCAGCATGGATCTACCACGTATGAAAATACGCAATACATACATACATTAACTCAAAAACTACTGGTCTGTAGCTGGTGCTTCTCGTGTGGTCCCAACACGAGAAGCACCAGCTTTCAGATAAAAACAGAATCATCAAAATTGGTTCACCCAGAGAAAAGTTACGATGTAACACACATATAAAAAAACACACAGTCGAATTGAATACCTCCTCCTTTTGAAGTCGGTATTTTTTTTTTTATAGAAAAGGATAGAGATGGGCCGAATATTCGTTTTATATTCGGTATTCGACATATTCAGCAGCTTTACTCGAATATTCGGCTAAATAACCAAACATTAGTTTTCATAGTGTCCAATATATTGAAATGTACGGATTGAGTAATGCGATGTCTTTGAAAGTATATTTTATTTATGGGTTAAATCTACTTACTTTAGAGTGCCTCAAATGCATAAATCTATACATTTATGTTTTTGAGGCACAGTAGATTTATTTCCGATTATAGCAAATAGAAACTTGATAAAATGTTTTGGAATCAAACAAAGAAACATTTACATTATATTAGTACATTTCACTTTACTTTGGTCGTCAGTTTCTCTAAAATAAGTCCAAATAATAAATCACGCTCACTTTTATCATATAATTATCAATTTTCACTAAGACTAACACAACGGAATACATTTTTATCAAGAATAGTCAAAACAAAAGCATGTTGTGCCGGTCAGGGGTGGCGAGAGCGAGGTACAGGGTTCAGCGCTAATCCCGCGCGCTTTACGGTAACAAGCTTCAACATAAATTGGTTGGGTATGTGAATAATTTTTCAATTATTCAATTATCCCGAGGTTATCCTGCCGAATAATGTTCGGCCGAATATTCGTATTCGGTGAAATCCGTATTCGGCCCATCCCTAGAAAAGGAGGCACACGACCAATTGGCTTACCAGATGACAAGACATCACCACCACGTATAAACGTTTGCATCACTATAGAAATCGCAGATGCGTTGCCGATGTCGTCACAATTGATGCCGCTCCCCATCGGCAGTCTGGTTAGGACTTTTGCTAAAATATGCTACTACTAGTGGTCGTCTAGTGATGTAAATTTGACCGTAATTCGATAAACTTTTAAGTTTGTGTAATAATCAAGCTGTATTTGACTTTCACCTGCACAACGTAGATATCTATTACACAAAATATACAATAAATGTTTTCCTTGACATACGCTCTACATACTATTAAAAAGGTACTTTTAAAATTATACAAAATTCATAGCCTGTACAATCAATCTATTAGTAATTATTACTTGGCAACTCTTTAAAATTCTACAGCGACAATCTCTACTCTGTGCGACTACATGACTACAGGACTGACAGGACTATTATTGTTTGACATTGGCAGTATGAACGTAAACATTGTAAACGTAAACATGTATTTGATACACATATTATATATAAATTTAACTTTCTGCTCTCCTTAGTTGTACTCGTACCGCTACAGCGCATGAGGTTTGAACCGAGCTTCATGAAAGAAACCAGAATCACGTATAAATAAAGATAGTTAAGTATAGATAGATTTGATAGATTTCCGTAGGCTTGGGTAAAAAATATCGATATATATCACAGATATTTCTAAATCTCGATATCGATATTCGGAATTTATTTTGGAATATCGAATTCGTAGCAATTTCAATATATTTATAATGATGTATTAACCGACATAACATTAAGCAACAAAAGTAGCTTCAAAAGCATTAATGTGATGTTATCGTTTTTTTTCCGTCCGACCAACCATCCAGTAATACCATTTTGCTCCTTGTGTGGTAGGCCACATCTTGCAAAACATGACGATTAATCGATATTTATCACGCGATATATATCGATACTGTTTAATAATACCTATACGTTATATCTCGATATATTTTTTCACTTGCTCATCCCTAGATTTCTAGTTTTTACGGATTTTATTGCGTATATTAACTTTTTATATATTTACGGCGTTTCTAGCACTTTAGAGCACCCATGGTCACGGGGGGCTGAGGTGTACGACGTCCAGATGACATAGTCAACCGCGGTTAACCACAGATTAAATTTATAAATTTTTGTTCCGATCTACACAGTATGAACTTACGGTATCTTGAAGTCTTGCAGTTGTATGCTTGGGTTGGGATTTAATTTTATTAATTATAGGAACCCAAGCAGATGGTAGCGCCCAGCCATCTTCTCAATTGAAATTAGGATGTTTTTTGATTTCTATAGTCTCGTGAATCATCCTTGGAAGGAATCGGTGTTCTTTAGTGAGGATTTGTTGTCTATGAAATCTGATGTAGTGGAAAAAAAAATAAAAAAAATATTCATCAAAATTAGTCCAGAATTGACGAGAATATCAAATAACACACAAAAAAAGGGCATAAACTCGAATCGAGACCCACCATCTTTTGCTGACGTCATCTAAAAACAGAGGAATACGAGATAATGACTGTCAATTTTTCCAAGGTACAATCAGACTAGGTCAAGACTAGACTAGACTAATCAGACTATTACATGTGTCTTTGTCGGTTATCTGGTGTCGTCGTTCGGGCACAGCGCAACAGCGGTTACAGTTGCAGCATATTAAATTCTACTGCTGAAAATTGGCCTCCACCATAGACTGCCTCATAGGGGGGATATTTACCATAGTTGGCACGCTTGGCAAGTGGATGGCAGTCGCAGTTTATTATTTTAGTCGTTATACGGAAGACGTTACTACCCATCTCCTGATTGGTTTCCCTCCGTCGCCTCTTACGAAACCCGCGGGATGATATGGGATGAGAGGATATTCATATACCGTCATTACACGGTAAAGTGAAGCGCAATAGGAATAGATGAAAGATCTACTGCACAAATTTCTTGCAGCACGGATATCCTCTAAAGTAATTTATATCTACCCTCACCTGTTTAGTTTGATCGGGCCCCCAGTCTTCCGGACTTTGAGGGCTTGCTCCCAAAACTTTACAGCCTCCGGTAAAATTGTGTTCTGTAACAGAAGCAACAAATTTGTTTGTATGTTTTATATAAAAATGGGGGTAATCACTATGGTGAATGATGAGAACCGGAGTCTCTTTACACTGGTAACATGGCTTTTTTATATCGAATAAGAGCGACAAACGAGCACGCAGTCCACCTGATGGTAAGTGTATGCTGCGGCCCATAGACGTCTACATTTATTCTCGATTAAGAGTCAAAATGCAGATGCGTTGTCACCCGTGAGGACTAAGATGGAATGCCTCGTTTCCAGTAAAAACGGGTCCTCGGATTTCTACATTCACCATATGAAAAACAGCAGCATTGATTTGCTATTTCAAGCTGGTATTCTGTTAGACCGTGGTCCTTCCCCGGTCGAGCCGACCCATTCGTGCTACAACCATAATATAACTGCAGCGTGACTCTACTACGTATAAATTATTCTATTATAGGTATTAATCATTCTATCTTAGTCTTCAGAGGTGATGAAGTATCTGCGTTTATAATTCTCAGTCTAGGATAGATGTAGACTTACCATCGGGTGGACGTTTTGTCACCCTTATATTTATAAAGAAATTATCCAGCACGTGTACATTGGGTCGAATGAGAACCCCTATATTTACAACTGCTGTAATAAGCTATCCTGTCTCATTAAAATCAAAAAGGTTCAACGATTTTCGTGCCGAGTGTGGTCCCCCCACCCCTACTTGAGCTGGATCATTCATGCTGCAGCCATAGTAGTTGAAGCGTGCTAAGAGAGTACTAGAGGGTATACGTGTTTAAATTTTTAAATTTATTTCCTTATAAATAAATTGATATAACCGCATTTTCTTTTTTCAAATACCTTACTTCTACACTAGGTTTTTCTCCAGTATCGTGGGAGCAGTTTCCATATATAAACATATATCCAAACTCGAAACAATTATTTATAAGCCATAAAAACACTTGTTCCGTGCGGGATTCCAATCCGCGGCCCTCAGCGTAGTAGCACATGCTAAGCCACGACGCCACGGGGCCGTCAATATAAAACATAAAAAAATATTAGCAATGAAAAGCTACCGATTTAGCATCACGCTGCAAGAACAAAATGACTAGAAAATCTATAATACTCACATTTATCATATCGAATTTCTCCGGTTCTAATCTGTAATAGAAAAAGGAAATATTAGAAAATATTAAAGTGGTAAAAGTAAAAATATATTACATAATATTTGACCTTGTATGACCTTTTCAAGTCGACAGTAAACCTCAACCTTTACCTCGTATTGTGTTCAAAGTGTGCCTAATACGTATATGTCCTTTTTTACATTGGGAAAAGCCTACGCTACCAGCCTCGCGTGTATAGGACACATGTTATGTGGGACTCGCAACGGCTAAAACCCTATGGTGTTCTAACTTCGCCGCATATTTTTTTATAGCATTGTGTGACAAACGGGCACACAGTCCACCTGATGGTAAGTGGATGCTACGGCCCGTAGAAATCCACATTTATCCTCAATTAAGAATCAAAATGCAGATGCGTTGTCGCCCCTGAGGACTAAGATGGAATGCCTCGATTCCAGTAAAAAGGGTCCTCAGTAAAATATTGGCAGGGCCACGGGAACGCACACATCGGCGGCCCCACCAGCACCGGCCGCTCCATTGCCGCCCTTCCTCGGGAGAGGAACATCAATAGGTGTTAGCCTAACTTGTTGGTCCGGTTATCGTCTGCGCGTCTGTTGATCATGAAGCCCCGAGATAGAATTAGTCGGTCCAGAATAGTTAGTGGGTTTCACCGTCAAGAAATTCTCAGTAGCAGCCAGAAGTCAGGAAGTCGGTGGTGTATTAACCCTGTGTCTCGGAAAGCAAGTAAAGCCGTTGGTCCTGCGGCTGACATTGCTTTAGCCGTATCCGAATATCTGAACAGAGGGTGAACATGTGCTCGCGTAGGTAAACACTCTCGTGCACTTTAATCCCGTCTTTCGCAGATGACTAGCCTCCGTTGAGAATGGCAGCCGTGACCAAAAAATCAATCTGGAGAACGTAATTTTAGGTTTTATTATAGGTCTTACGTTTTCATCTATCCTCCTTTCATTCCTGAGGAGCTATCTGGAGCAGAAAAGTTTTACTGTAAGTTAAAGTTAGTTGACATACTGTCAGACTTTTTAACGTGGTAGAACCATGCTGCAGTTACGTTATGGTTGCAGCACGAAAATGTCGGCCACATTATCCATACCGTCACAGAAAACCAACGTAAATTAGCAGTTTAATGCTGCTATGTTCCGTATACAAGGTTTATTGATACAATAAGGGTGACAAACGAGCACGCAGTCCACCTGATGGTAAGTGGATGCTGTGGCTCATCGAGATCTGCACCTATCCTCGATTACGAATCAAAATGCAGATGTGTTGTCACCTCTGAAGACTAAGATGGGCCAAATGACCAATGGTGTTATTAGGATTTCGGATGACTAACACATCTAGGAAAGGTAAGGAATTATTTGCCTCTAACTCCATAGTAAATTGAATATGTCAGAGGTATCACAGACAAGATTGGCTATATCTTGATGCGAGCTTCTATTAGAACATTCTACAAGCCGCCGAAGAAGATTAGTCAGTTCCTACCATCCGTCAAGTGTCATATTCCTTTACAAGATGCAGGAGTGTACAAGCTTGATTGTGAATGTGGTCTCTCTTATATAGGGCAAACAAAAAGATCAATTAGGACTCGCGTAAAAGAACATATAGCTGATGTGAAGCATCAACGTTCCGGGAAGTCTGCAGTTTGTGATCATATCCTAGACGGCCCCAACCATTACATCAGATTTGATAGACCACAAATCCTCGCGAAAGAACACCGATTCCTACCAAGGATGATACGTGAGGCTATTGAAATTAAAAAACATCCTAATTTCAATAGAGAAGGAGGCTGGGTACTACCACCTGCTTGGGATCCTATAATCAATAAAATTAAAACTAAACCCAAGCATACCACTGCAAGACCTCAGGACATTCAGTTCATTTTGCATAGATCGGACCATAAACAATAATTAAAAAAGCTGAAGGTACTCCGGGTTTAACGATGACATCGGGACGTCAGTCATCTCAGTCCCCCGTGACCATGGGTGCTGGAAAGCGCCCGAAACGTCGGGAATTAAAAATAAAAGTAAATAAAAGTAAAAATAAACGCGATAAAATCCGTAAAAGTAGTTTTAATCATGTATAGAGTTCGCGTAAATATAAGAAATCATTATCTTACCTATATACAGAGTGGTCGTAGAATATGCTTATCCTAAGTGGCTGGTCTATGCTCCTCTTCTTAACTAGATGAGCGGCCTCTATGTGCACTCCACGGACGACCTGAAAAGAGAGGGGATGTTAGTAATTGAACTATTGTCTTTCTTTGATAAAGGAACTTACAATCCATCTTATAGTAAGTGGATACCACGCCCAAAGGACACCTGTAACCTTCTTCATATAAAGATGTTATCATGGACTAAGATGGGATGCCTTACAGCCTGGAACATACTGTATCCCTATACCCTTCAGACCGAAACACAACAGTGCAAAAATAGGCGATAGGGGTGGTATCCAAACGGGCTCCCTGATAGAAGATAGATTTATACGTGGTAAAGCCACGCTGCAGCTATATTATGGCACGAATGGGTCGGCTCGACAGGGGAAGGACTATGCTCTCACAGAATACCAGCGTAAAATAGTATTTTAATACTGCTGTGTAGCGTAGGATGTGTGTAGAGAACCGGAGACCCTTTTTTACAGGAAACGAGTCATTCTATCTTAGTCCTCAGGGATGACAACGCATCTGCATTTTGATTCTTAATGGAGGATTAATGTAGATGGAATTATATCATTAATTGGACTGTGGGCCAGATGGAGGTAAAATAATAATAAAGCCAAGCATCCCCGCGGTTCAGTATTACAAGAAAACGTTACATAAATCATGATGTTCTTTTTAATACCGTACTACATTCTCCACTACAGCGATAATAAAGCTCATTTCAAAAACAATCTGCATTTTGATTCTAAATCGATGGAGTAGATGAAAGTGAAAGTAAATAGTAAAGAAAATAAACAAGTACATTGATAAGTAAATGAGCAAGTATGTATTCAATTAAATTTTCAAGCAAAACAGGAAGTTGATAATCAAGTAAATAATCAAATAAATAAGCAAGTGAAAAATAAGTAAATATTTAAGAAAATAAGAAAGTAATTAGACAAGTAAATAACCAAATAACTAAATAAATACTTATTCAAGTAAGTACGTGTTAAATAGTCTAGTAAATAATCAAGCAATTAAGTAAATATTTAAGTCAATAGTCTAGTAAATGAGAAGACAAAGAGTAATTACGTAAATAATAAATAAGTAATAGTAAATAAACAAGTAAACAAGCAAGTACATAAGTATGTAAATATTTAAGTAAATAAGTAAACAGCGAAGTATATTTTTATGAATATACGAAAGTAAACGATCAAATGTATAGCCAAGCAAATTAACTAGTATATAACTAAGTAAATAGTCGAGAAAAATTAAGCAAATAGGTAAACAAATAGTCAAGTTTAGTACTAGATAGATATATTCATAGTAAAGAACTATTTCATTTGCATCTTACGTTCACGAACTAATCATAACTACCGGCCAGTGCCTGCCGACAGATCTTTGAGGTTTAGTACCTACCAATCAATTCGTTTGACAATTTCAGAGAGCAGGATAACGCCTTCATACGAGCTCGTACACCGTACTACAAGACGTAATTAAATGAGAAACAAGATCCGGTTGTAATACAAAAAAATAATTGAAATTGATTGAAAATAGTAATTAATGAATAGACAGTAGACATTGTGATATACTCGTATACATAATATAGGTAACACTATTTTTAGTTTTTTAGGGTTACCGAAAGTAAATCTAGATTTGTTTGGACACGTCTGTATTTTGGACTATTACAGTTAATTGAATACGGTGTTGGTTATTATGAGAATAAGAATGATGATGTATATGAATCATAATTAATTTGTTAAGACCCATTTACAAATAATACGTTTTACTAAAAAATATTGAAATGGTTGACAAACGAGCTCAGACTCCACTTCATATTAAGTGGATAATGTTGCCCATAGAAACTTACCTACCTATTCATCCTTCATTAAGAATTAAAAAAAAAACGTTGGCAACCCTGAGGATTAAGATAGAACGCCAGATGCTTGCAAAATCGAGACTCCTTGGTTGAGACGACCCATGCGTGCTATAGTCAATACGTCTGGCTTTACGAGTATAATGTTGCCCATAGAAACTTACCTACCTATTCATCCTTCATTAAGAATTAAAAAAAAAACGTTGGCAACCCTGAGGATTAAGATAGAATGCCTCGATGCTTGTAAAATGGAGACTCTCCTTGGTTGAGACGACTCATGCGTGCTACAGTCAATATGTCTGGTTATACCTATGTATGTTAAAACCTAATTACATTTAAACTACGAAAAATACATTATTTAATTTTATTAGATTAGTTTTATTTATTATTTTTCCTAACCGTCCATTGTTGTCGATCGAGACCACAGGGGCTTCAACTGAAACTTTTACTTTAACTTTTGTTAAATGAAAGCATTTTGATCGTGTTCAAGGCTGTATGAGCTTATATTCCTTTGCCTTGACTGGTGCCCGGGAAAATATTACAAAAAATGTAAATAAACAAATCTTCGCGTGATGAAACACACAATTGATGAAATTTCGACCATAGACAGAGTTATTCTTTACAGTTTGTTTTAGCAACGTGCCAAATTTAATACGACGCTAACGTGCCGCCGTGAGCTTGACTCGTCGATTCACAAATACGCTTTTTGCGATGACAACGAACTTTACTAGTTAGCCAACACGACCGCAGTAAGGTTAACCCGTCTATAAGATCCTTAATACCAAAATATTCAAACGCTGCTCAATTTTAAGATGGCGTTAAGTCTCGTGCAGTCTCTATCACTTTAAGTCAAAGTGACTGTGACACCACGAGAATATCTTAAACGTTTTAGCGTTTGAGTATTTGGCCTAAAGGAGCTAGGTATATAATCGTAATTTTTTATTTTAAATATCCATGCACATTTTTACATCGTCGCCATCATCGACCGTTTTTTTTCCCTATAATATTCAACACAATAACTGACGCGTTATGCCATCTAGAAATTAAAGCAAATAAACTTAAAATAATGAAATATTTAATATTTGTTCATCATATTAAATTGTAATTCTCTAATTCTCACCACTCCATGCGTTAACTGGTATAGAATACCTCAAGTCCGCCCTTTGTAAGTAATGAAATAGCGACTAAATAAATAAATAATGTTGTCATCATAATATGCGTATCAAACATATGACGTAAATATAAACAGCTTATGTTTTCACTTAGTGGTGTTTCATATCTAACTTTTATATATGAAACACCACTAAGATATTATCATTATATGTCTTAACAGTTTATTACAGTTCACTTTTTACTTACTTACTTACGCACAATCCCTAACGGGGTAGCCAGAGAGAACAGATCGCCAAGTGTCACGATCCTTACATACCTCTTTCGCTTCTTTCAGGTTCATTAACTTCTTCATACATGCACGTCTAGATATCCGAGTACTCTTGACCTTCCCCTCTTCGAGCAATTTGCTCACATGGTCTTCGAAAGTTAGTCTCGGTCTACCTCGACACCTTGTAATATTTACTTTCGATCTATATATTTTCTTCACCATTCGGTCTTCACTCATTCGCTCAACGTGCCCAAACCATTGGAGTACGCCCCTATCAATTTTTGTGATAAGGTCATCTTTCAATATTATGCCATATTGCGAATCTCTTCGTTTCGCTTTCGATCGGCTATGGTAACGCCACACATTTTACGAAGAGATCGCATCTCCACCGCATTCAACTTGCTTTTATGCTTCTTCTGGCATACCCAGGTTTCGCTCCAACAAAGTCGGTACCAACACTGCGTTATGTATTGCAAGGCGTGCACTCTTCACCACGCCTTGCCTTTTGACTAATGCATTCAGGGCCCCATTGACTTTGTTTCCGGCAGCGACACGCCTATCCACACCTAAATCACATCTTCCATCCCGGCTGAAAGCACTCCCCAAGTATACAATTTCATTTACCTGTTCTAGACATTCCTGATTTACCCATATTTCACATTTCGTTCTCTCTTCGTCCTTTTCAAATACCAGAACCTTAGTTTTATTAGCAGTTCACTTTACATCGCATTAACAGTTCACTTTTTGTCCTATCATTTTTAATTTCAATATGGTAATTCCATTCATTGTGATACTAGACGTCGTTTTAAAATTACTTCCCAAAACGTAAGCAGAGCTAATTACTTCACAACTACTTTATATGTCAATAATTATTATCAACCGAATCAATCCGTAAATATTCCGCAGTTAGACATGCATTTATTAAACTTTATAATAACGTACAGTAACTATATTAAACTACTAAGCTATTAAAAAGTATAGCAACCGACTATTTACGTTCCACTACTATGCCCACGTCGCCTATCATTCCTAAGAAGGTTACCAAGTACCAGGTAAAGTGACAATTACAAATCGCAAGTACTTGAGACTAGTACGTACATCAAGTACAAGTAGCAAGTATAACAAATATTATAACATGACTTTCAATAAGTGTTCTTGTAATATTAATTGATTATTATATTATATATTATATTCTACCAGTAACAAGTAAAATAACAACTACTATTGCAAAGCTTGTTTTTTTTTGTCATAAAATAAGGGTGACAAACGAGCACACAGTCTACCTGATGGTAAGTGGATGCTGTGGCCCATAGACATCTACATTTATCCTTGATTAAGAATTTAAATGCATTGACGCGTTGCCAGCCGTGAGGTCTAAGATGGAATGCCTCGTTTCCAGTAAAAAGGGTAGCCGGACTTCTACAACACTATAGGAAACACAAAAGCATTGTGCTGCTATTTTATTCTGTTACGATGTGAGAGCGTAATCCTTCCCCGGTCGAGCCGACCCATTCGTGTTTCAACCATAATAAAGGTGCAGCGTGGCTCTACCACGTATATCAAACAAGTAATAATAACTGGTGCACAACCAGTTTAAACTAGTGGCATTATTTAAATTAAAGATAACCAAGTACCATTTTTAACAACTTCCCGATTATTGATAAAATCTAGTCTAGATCACTCCTGGCAATTGCTCTTAACCTGTTCGTGATGTTTTTTAGCCCGTACAGACAAAAAATTAATATATTATTTTATATATATATTTATTTTTATATATTATTTATTCCTTAACAGCATACAAACATACCCTTATACTAGGGTTGCCACCTTCTTTTGAACAAATATAGTATTTTTCCCAAAATGATGTAAAAATTTACTTGTAGGTACTTAGAAAAAAGTACACATTAGTTTTTAACCTTTATGTACTTTTCAATATACATTAGTAACTTGCTCTTTGCTTTGGCCATCAATCATCTAACCTATCGTTACTTTTGCCTTGCAATAATTATGCCTTTAAAATAATTGTAGGTCTTAGTAATTTAGATTCATATTAAAATAAATTAACAATAAATTTTTAATCAAACTAATACATTCCCTTTATCTGTTTTATTTTTTTTTCGTAAAACATACCTTTTCCAGGCTTCTAATCACAGTTAATATAAAAAGCGCGACAATTGAAGTCGGGGTAAAAATATAGTTTTCATCGTACTATATTATTTTTCTATAAAATATATTACAAATTGACTGAAATATAGTACGATACTATATGTTATAGAACGGGTGGCAACCCCACATTGTACGTAATAGAAAACAGTTATTTCAACGTTCAATAAACAATGCAATTTCATTTAAATGTATCATTCACCATCATCATTACAGCCCTTCACAAGTCCACCGCTGAACATAGGCCTCCCAAGGTATGCCACAAAGCACGGTCCTGAGCCACCTGCATCCATCGACTTCCTGCATGTCTTACCAGGTCGTCACTCCATCTAGTGGGGGGTCGCCCTACACTTCGCCTACCGGTACGAGGCTGCCACTCAAGAACCTTTTTTCCCCAACGGTTGTCGGTTCTTCGAGCTATATGGCCGGCCCATTGCCACTTCAGCTTAATAATCTGTTGGGCTATGTCGGCCACTCTGGTTCTACTGCGGATATACTCATTTCTAAGTTTATCACGCAGAGAAACTCCGAGCATAGCCCTCTCCATAGCTCGCTGAGCGACTTTGAGCGTCCTCATATGGCCAGCAGTGAAAGACCACGTCTCGGTTCCGTAGGTCATCACTGGCAACACGCACTGGTTGTACAAATTAGTTTTCAGAGATTGAGGTATACCTGACGAGAAGATGCGTCGTAATTCCCCGAACGCTGCCCAGCCGAGTTGAATCCGTCGATTGACCTCTCGGTCGAAGTTGAACTTACTTAGTCGGAATATTTCCCAGGTAAACGTACTCGTCAACAACTTCGAGCTTAGTGCTCCCAACAACTACCGGCATAGGTGTGACATGAACATTAAACATGATCTTTGTTTTGTCCATGTTCATCCTAAGACCTATCCGTTGGGAGGCACTATTGAGGTCATTGAGCATAGTGCTAAGGTCCTCCAGCGATTCTGCATTTTAACATAAGGACTATATCGTCGGCAAATCGAAGGTGAGTGACGTACTCGCCATTGATGTTAATACCGTATCGTTTCCAGTCTAGTAGCTTGAAAACGTCTTCCAATGCAGCGGTGAAGAGTTTCGGGGAATAACGTCACCCTGTCTTACACCTCTGTGCAGTTGGATAGGTTTCGTACTCTGGTTCTGTACTCGGATAGCCACCGTAGCCCTACTGTACAAACACTTCAGCACTTCGATATACCGACAGTCAACTTGGCACCGCTGAAAAGACTGTAGCACCGCCCAAATTTCGACGGAATCAAAGGCCTTCTCATAGTCCACATACGCCAGGCAAAGTGTCAGATTTTGCCGAAGGGTATGTATGTGGTCTATGGTACTAAAGCCTTTTCGGAAACCGGCTTGTTCGGGAGGCTGGAAGTCGTCGAGTCTGCGTGCGAGACGATTCGTAATGACTCTCGAAAACAGCACGTAGACGCGGCTCAGAAGGGATATCGGTCTGTAGTTCTTCAAGAGGGCGTTCTCACCTTTCTTGAAGAACAAGTCCACCGCATTTTTGCTCCGCGCCTCCGGAGTAGTGCCACCATGGAGGACGGAATTAAAGAGCCTCTGAAGGACTTCAAGTACCGGTTTTCCACCCGCTTATAAAAGCTCCGCTGTAATTCTATCCTCGCCCGGGGACTTGCCGTTTTTAAAGTGCTGGAGAGCCATTCTAATCTCGCTCAGACTGACGTCCGGGATATCATCGGATTTAAATGTATAGAAAAGGAAAATTCTTTGACCAGATTCAGACCAACCATGATTCTGTTGTCGGTGTGTTTTTCAATTTACAAAACTAAAATAAGAAAATTCAACAAACAAACTCTACGCAATTACTTTTTACGACTAAAATAAACAGAAGTTATAAAATATTATAAAATGACGTCAAAAACAATTTCCATAGCATGTTTCATTATTTATTCAACAGTTTTCAACAGTGAGTACGTTTATTTTTATTTATAACTCTTATTTCTAGCAAGAATTGGTCGGCTCGACCGGGGTGAGACCACGCTCTAGCAGAATACCAGCGTAATATAGCAGCTTAATGCTGATATGCTACTCTATGGTGAGTGTAGAGAACCGGAGACCGTTTTTACTGGAAATGAGGCATTCCATCTTAGTCCTCACGGGTGACAACGCGTCTGAATTTTGATTCGTAATCGAGGATACATGAGTAGGTGTTTATGGGCCACAGCAACCACTTACAATCAGGTGGACTGTGTGCTCGTTTGTCACCTTATACTATAAAAAAAAGAATGGAAAATACCCTGGGTTTGTTATACTACGTCAAGTTACATGTTAAACAGTTAATTTTAAGATTTATATTGCATTGTATACCGTGTAGTGTGGTCTTAGAATACCCACTACCCCGTATCATGCTGTGGGCGTCGTAAGAGACGAAGGAACCTGAAACAGGAGATGGCAGCAGCATCTTCCTGATAACAATTCAAAATAATAAAAAACTGCGGTTGCCAACCCGCTTGCCAAGCATGGCAATTATGGCAAAACCCTCAAATCAGGTAATTTATGAGGGATGCCTATGTTCGGCAGTGTAATTTTGTAGGATGTAATAGATAGAATGGATTGCCAGTTCAGTCTACTGATCCATTGGTCTATGTCAATTATTCCAGTTCTTCTGCGAGTATACTATACGTGGTATATTTTATATTTCATACGTGGTATAGGTATAGATAAGTGGTCCCCCTTCTGTAGAATATTTCTCTAGCTTTGAACACGTCTTGGAATCTCTCAGTGCGGACTACATACATCACATTATCATGGGCGACTTTAATATTGACCTTCTCAAAACTTCTGCTCAAAGGGCTAAGCTACTTAATATCCTGTCCTCAGTTAACTTGTCTATTCTATCCTGTGCTCCTACCCACCACAATTCTGATTCTCCAGACACGTAGCTCCATTTAATCATAACCCCCTCTCCCCAACTCGTAGTTAACTATGGTCAGTTGGGGGGTTTATTTTATGTTTCATACGTGGTAGAGCCACGCTACAGCTATATTATAGTTGTAGCACGAATGGGTTGGCTCGACCGGGGAAGGACCACTCTTTCACAGAATACCAGCGTAAAATAGCAGCTTAATGATGCTGTGTTTCGTACGGTGAGTGTAGATGGTGTGAGAACCGGAGACCCTTTTTGCTGGAAACGAAGCATTCAATCTTAGTCCTCACGGGTGACAACGCATCTGCATTTTGATTCACAATCGAGGATATAAGTAGATGTCTATGGGCCACAGCATCCACTTACCATCAGGTGGACTGTGTGCTCGTTTGTCACTCTTATTGTATAAAACAAACTCGTTACGTCTTCTATTACTCTCAGAAAACACCAGTAAATAATATTTTCACTGTCAAAATAAATACCTTTGTTACATGTTCTAACATAAATAAAGAAAAGTTATAACAAAGGACCGTTTAACAACAGATAATGGCTTAAGGTGTTGTAAATAAAATATCTCATAAAAAAGTTATGACTATTTCACCAGAATGCCTCACAAAAGATTTGCTCGAGGAAAATTTCTCGCTGGAGTCAAGTAAAAAACAAACATGTTTTAGAAATGTTTATGTTTGTATTCTTTATATTTTATATATCACATGGGTTATACCTTACTTATGGCTAATTTTTTTTATTCTTATTTTTTTTTATAAACGTTCGGCAACGGCAGTTCACATACATAATTTTTTACAAGTACAAACATCCAGACTCGGAACAATTACTCGTAGGCCATACAAATTCTTGGTCCGAGTAAATTCGAACCCACAGCTATTAGCGCCGCGGTGTCGTCAAGTTTCCGTATATCACAAGTAAGGCGGTTAAAGCCGTGATATAGTTATATCCTTATGGATATAGCTATGTACCGAAATCTAGTAATACCAGGCTAAATTAGGAAAATAATTAAAAGCATACTCGTATATTAACTAAGAATGTTAGTCAAAACTAATTTTGACTTATAATTTTTTATATTATTTATATTAGCCTGGTAAGATAGTTAGGAACCGCTGTCATATAACTATATTCCGGTAAATCGCCATATCCCAAGGGATTTAACTATATCATGGCTTTAACCATCTTACTGCGACATATAAATAAATTGCTTGATCGGTTCCCTTATGAGCCATTCTAGTAAAATGAATTAATAAGTAAACAAAACACTGTTTTAAACAACCAAGCATGTGTACAATTAGGGTGACTACCCACGGTGCGTTATATAGCGGACGGACGCAGACAAGCTTGTCCCGGCACACCGTGGGAAGCGTCTCGTCCGCGTCAGCACCACCACGTTCGCACCGGTGCAGATCCGCCGAGAGTCGTTAAGGGGATATAGGAAATCAGCTCAAATTCTAATTTCGCCCCCACTTGCCCGCGCGTCGTATGCTATGTACCGACATGTTTGTAATAACTAATACTGCAAGTAGAAAGGTCGTTAGACACTTATTTCATTAGGTTTATCATATTTATGCCAGTTTCTTAACGCTAAACCAGTCGCTACTTATTTTTATTACGGTTATTTCCCATTTTAATTTTACGTCGTCCTGTTGCGTATTGTGTGTTCTGATCGTAAGCGACACAACATCCCCTTCAAAAACCGAAGCGAAACTGACCGGGCGGCAGGAATCACGCTTCAAGGGGCCGATAGTTTAGGTAATATCTTTTTACAGTGAAAATAATGGTATTTTAAAAAAAGTAAATAACATAAGCACTGCTTTATAGTTAGTTCAGTTAGAATGCAAAGTTTCATCTTCATGATCTTATTTAAAGTATTTTATGAATAACAGTGGTTTATTGTTTATTTTGGAGGGAACTTTGGATTTTTTTTCTATCGAGAAAATTTTACGGAATCGTGTTTTCGTCTAACATAGTCCTTAACATTAATCCTCAACTTTACCATATATTTATTTCAAAATTAATGCTGCAATATTTTCGGCATAACGGAGGATCTTGCTAAGCCATTTGAAGTTATATTTCCTCTTAACTGCAACACGTGCGATGTGAACTCGTGGACGAGCTGGTCAGGATTTGTATTTTTTATAAAATAAGAGTGACAAACGAGCATGCAGAACACCTGATGGTAAGTGGATGCTGTTCCCCATAGACATCTACATTTATTCTTCCATCTATCCACTGTTACATACTACGAACTTATAATTTCCCTCTGTTTTCTTCGGGGGTTAAAAAAGTAAAATTTATTTATTATAACTGATGGCTGTTATATACATAGAATACTATAATACATACATAATAGAACGGGGGAGGAGGGCGGAGCCCGTGTAGCCACTAAAATATCGCTAACACGTCAATTCACACGTATAAATGTCAACACGAGATGTGTTTTGACGTTACAATCGTTTCCAAATTCGCACACAAATTATTCAGAAAATGCTAAATTGCACCCAATTTACTAAGTAATATGTATTAAAATTTAATGATGATCAAAATTCTAAAATGTGTAAATTTATTCAGTCTGTCAACACAGCGAATCGGGTTTGGCGACGCCAATACTCGTATAAAATAGTATTCTATGGCTTTATACAATCCACTGAAAGATGTACCGATGATTTTCGAAAAATGGCGACAAAATAATTTATTTTACAACAAATAAACTAACCCCAAGCGTAAAAACATGCGTTTTAAAATAGATAATTATGCAAAATAGGGATAGCGGATTTGCCATAGATAAAATACGCAAAAACCTGTAAATTCTATATCTATAGATCTACGAGTCGATAAGGAAGAAAGAAGAAATTCAATTTGCACGTTAATTTAAAACCGTAACAATAATAAACCGGGAATAAGAATTCAAATTAAAAAAAAAACATTCAAAATAACAAAGTAATGAATGAAAACATCTCAGAATATCAACGCGTACTGTATAAAAACAAATCACAAAAAACCACTCGAGCATTTTCGCCGTAAGCGATTTTAGCTTTCCAGAATAATTAAATCCGTAAATAAATTTCACAACAGATCCATCCCTCGCGGCGAGCATTAAGAATTCCATTGGGGACACCGAAATAAAAACAAAGCCTAAGACGAACAACAAAGCAGCTTTCGATGCTAATTCAGATTTCGATGCAATGGATACTGACAACGATTGGTTAGAGGCGTCACACACAGTCACACAGTCAGTTACAGAAGGTAATCTCATTTATTTATTTATTTATTTGCCATTACGTTACATTACGTAACATTGGTACGTCAAAATTACAATTACAATTATATAGATACAATAATATAGTTAAAATTACAAATTATACAATTACAATAATATAATTAAGATACATCTCATTTACAGTACATTATTTTATGTGTCGAACAAGTCAAAAAATGAACATTGCATATATTCCTTCTATGTTGTAAAAAGCGCGATTTAAAAAGAATGTTTTTATCACTTGTCGGAACGCATTTAGCGGAGTCTTGTTATTTCTATTGGCAATTTATTGTATATTATAATTTTTATTGCAAGACCTTGCTTGAACACTTTGACTAATCTGGTTCTTGGAACAACTAATCTTTCGCGATTTCTAGAATTGTAGTTATGTACGTGCTTTTTTCATTGGTAGTTTACTTTTTTCCTGGTGTACTTCTAGAAGCGATCTATAAATATATAACGAAACGACAGTCATAATTTTCGCTTTTTGGAAATAGGCTCTAGCTGATTATGTATGATATTTAATTCCTTATGTGCACCAATTGATACCAGCTTGAAGTGGTTTAAAAATATCCACTACCACGAATATCCCCATGGTAGCAGGAGTCGACAGAACGGAACAAACGTAAACGTTATACGTGGTAGACAGTGGCGAAGCTAGAGCTCCAAGCTAGGGCAAGCCCAAGATATAAATTGATAAAAATATAGATTGTCGTTTTTAGCAGTTTTGTAAAAATACACCAATCTTGATCTGTCCCCGCTTCAGTTTCATATTCAGTGCTGTCAAGGACGTGTTCAACAAAGCACACAGAAGGCATACCACTGCTAGATAGATTGTATTACATAATATCAGCAATTGCATAGCTTCGGTGACTGAAGAAAGCCGTTTGGGTTTGTTTAAGCGAAAGAAAAAAAGTATTTACATCCAATACAATACATGAACAAAAGTAAAACACGAACAAAGTACAAACAAACTACATGATACAAAATTAAAAAAAAATATATTCACATTCTAATGAATAAGAGATAAGATAAGATAAGTGGAATCGTCTCGCTTTCTTATGGAAAGATTTAATTACGTCCACGTAAAATGTTGGTGAACGTTTTAATTGTACCAATAACTGTTTTTAATTGCGATAATTGATAAGTTTAAAATACACTCTTAACCTTGTGTATTATCTCAACAAAGTTTAAAGATTTCCTCTCCGATTATCACATTAACACACTTCAATTCATCACAAGGAACACTATTATCCTCCATTTTCATTAAAAATCTTTAAAAAAAGCATAAATTTTGAACTCGTAATATTAAATCGCTTAAGATAAGCACACAGAGTAAATAAACATTGAAACGTGAAATGAACTTGCAAACGTATTGCCCGCGCGCCTCCGCTTTTAACAAATTTATTCCCAAAAGCCTGGCTTTAAATCTCTATACTAATTGCTATATATACAATCGTAGTTATATTTCATTATAGAATATTTTGCCATAGGTTAGAAAGAGAGCGATCGTCTTCTCGAAAGCCCGGTAAAAAGCCCACGCGAGCGAGGGAGACAACTATTAGCTCTATTAAAACTCATTTTTTATGACAGCAGCAGTATCGCTAAGGCAATACGAGGTCATCGGTCGACATGTGTCGAACAGTGGAGTGCGCGGGAAATTTGTAATAGCTTGAAACATTTTACGAGTTATTTTATTAGTTGATATTATTGATTGATATTATTGATTGATTCAGGTTTAATAAGGCAAGCCCGGCTTTTCAGCTTTAATGGAAGCTTCGCCACTGTGGTAGAGCCACGCTGCAGCTATATCATAGCTGAAACACGAAAAAAACGTCAAAAAACGTCGGTAAAGCCTGTTGTGTTTTTTATGATGAACGTAAAGAACCAGACCTATTTACTGGAAATGAGGCACTCCATCTTAGTTCTCAGGAGTGACTTCGTTTTAATTTTTAACCAAGTATAGATAAATGTAGATGTCTATAGGCCACTTTATCGACTTACCATCAGATGGGCTGTGTTTTTTTTATAGAATAAAGGTGACAAACGAGCACACAATCCACCTGATGGTAAATGGATGCTGTGGCCCATATACACCTATATTTATCCCCGATTAAAAATCAAAACGCAGATGCGTTTCTACCCCTGAGGACTAAGATGGAATCCCTCGTTTCCAGAGTTAAAAAAAGTATCCGGTTCTCTACACTCACCATGCGCAACACAGCTCATTTAAACTTGACAGGGGGACATTTTAATCCCTTATATTTCAGGCTTAAAGACTGATTTCCAAGGCATTAACCATTCAGGTGGACTGTGCTGGTTAGTCACCTATATTCTAAATTTAATAAATCTATATATAAATGTGTAAGCGTAAAAATAAAAAAGCAAGATTCTTTTTGTGTCTATAAAAATAAAATCTTTCTCCTTTGAAGCTTTTTTTTAAAGAGGGGGCAAACGAGCATGCGGTTCACCGGATGGTAAGTGACTGCCGCCGCCCATGATCAACCGCAACACCAGGGCAATTGCAGATGCGTTGCCGGCCTTTTAGAAAGGAGTAAGCTCTTTTCTTGAAGGTACCTAAGTCGTCAGGAAAAGTCGCCGGTGGTAAACAATTACACAGAGAAGTCGTGCGAGGAGTTGCTATTGTTAATCGATGATTTAAATGGCCCGTAGACATATACAACTATCCTCGACGACTAAGGCGGAATGCCTCGTTTTCAATGAAAAAGGTCTCCGGTTCTCTACACTCAACATACGAAACACAGTAGCGTTAAGTTGCTATTTAACGCTGGTGTTCTGTATGAGCGTGTCCTTCCGGTCGAGCCGACCCATTCGTGCTACAACTATACCACTAATATAGCTGCAGCGTGGCTATACCACGTGAACACCTATCTCTAGCTTTTCGTCTAAAAATTATGTTGATATAACTAAATGATACATTATAATTAGAACTGGGTAGTCGACACCGCAATTAAGGGGAAATATAATGTCAAATGGCTTAGCAAGATCTTTCGTTATGCCGAAAATATTGCAGCATTAATTTTGAAATAAATATATGGTAAAGTTGAGGATTAATGTTAAGGACTATGTTAGACGAAAACACGATTTCGTAAAATTTTCTCGATAGAAAAAAAAAATCCAAAGTTCCCTCCAAAATAAACAATAAACCACTGTTATTCATAAAATACTTTAAATAAGATCATGAAACTTTGCATACTAACTGAACTAACTATAAAGCAGTGCTTATGTTATTTACTTTTTTTAAAATACCATTATTTTCACTGTAAAAAAGAAATTACCTAAACTATCGGAGTCTTGAGCTCGATTCCAGTCGCCCCGTTAGTATCGCTTAGGCTTTTGAAGGGAGAAGTTGTGTCGCTTACGATCAGAATATACATTACGCAACAGTACGACGTAAAATTAAAATGGGAAATAACCGTGATAAAAATAAGAAGCGGCTGGCTTGGCGTTAAGAAACAGGCATAAATATGATAAACCTAATGAAATAAGTGTCTAACGACCTTTCTACTTACAGTATTAGTGATTACAAACATATCGGAACATAGCATACGACGCGCGGGGAAGTGGGGGCGAAATTAGAATTTGAGCTGACTTACTCTATCCTCTTAACTGCTGTCAGTAGTTTGTCGTCTGATTAAACACAGCGGATCAGCACGGTATTTAACCTCTTATTAGATATAAAAGCATGCATCGGTAATTGCGAAATCAATTACTTCGGACACGCGATACTGGACTACAAAGTATTGTAAGGAAGCGACTATAAAGCAAATGACCTAGACATCTGCTTCTATGTAAGAGCTTAGCGATTTTGGACGATGTAATTCTTATGCATACACTACACATTTAAATGAAACTGGTTTTTACAAAGTTGAATTAAATCCCAACCCAAACAAACTACTATATTGGGTTATTTTTTTACTGTCTGGAAAAAATAGGGTGTCACAGGTAAACGGAATCTGATATTTTGCAATTTTTATTTTATTTACACTAACATATTATGAATTATGAATTTGAAATTAACTTTCGGTAAAAAATAACATTATTACCACAAAATATATATCAACACAAATTTTTGAACTAAATAAATAATTCAATTAAACTATCGAAATTAAAATAATTATATATTAGCAGTATTTATTGATAGATCAATTTCATAATATGTTAATGTAAAATAAAAATATGTAAGTACCTATAATATCAGTGCCATATGCTTCTACTCCGTTCACATAAACACGTCAGTCCAAGTGCTCGAAACGTCTGGAACATATAGTTAGTATAGTTACAGCCTATATACATCCCACGGCTGGGCAAAGGCTCATTTATGAGAGGGCATTAGGGCAAGGAAATGTCCGCCGCGCTGCCCCTATGGTGTTAACGACCTTCACATGTCTTCGAATTATTATTTTTTCGTATTTCTCAGACATGCAGGTTTCTTCACGATGTTTTCCTTCACCGCCGAGCACGTGGTAAATCAGGACTTAAAATTGCAATTAACAATTTCGTTGGTGCTGGCGGGTTCGAACCCGGGTTGCTCGCGTACTTTGAAATTTACAACGAACGTTAACTATCTGAGCTGCAACGGCTAGAAATCGATCAGGAATATAAAATAAGTTAATATCATCATCATCATTACAGCCCTTCACAAGTCCACTGCTGAACATAGGCCTCCCCCAAGTAATGCCACAAAGCACGGTCCTGAGCCACCTGCATCCATCGACTTCCTGCATATCTTACCAGGTCGTCACTCCATCTAGTGGGGGGTCGCCCTACACTACGCCTACCGGTACGAGGCTGCCACTCGAGAACCTTTCTTCCCCATCGGTTATCAATTCTTCGAGCTATATGGCCGGCCCATTGCCACTTCAGCTTACTAATCCGTTGGGCTATGTCGGTCACTCTGGTTTTACTGCGGATATCCTCATTTCTGAGTCTATCACGCAGAGAAATTCCGAGCATAGCCCTCTCC